GCGGGTGGCGACACGGACGGCCTCGCCGAAGGACCCGCACCCGATCCCGGATGGTGTTGCGAGCTCAGATCCGAACCTACCGGCGACAGGAAACTCATCTCCTGGCCGCTGTCGCGACACCAGAGCTGCCTCATCTCCTGTCGTCGTTGCCGCATCAGCGACTTGTACTCGGAAATTCGCATCTTCTTGCCGTCCACGATGCAGGTCCGTTTCGGCCGCGGCCTGTACCTGTAGTCCGGGTGCTTCTCCATGTGCAGCTTCGACAGTCGGGATTGTTCCTCGTAGTAGGGTTGCTTTTCCGAATTCGACATCGCTTTCCATCGGGCGCCTACGAGCAACGACAATCGATACAGACTTCGCCACCAATTGCGCGAAACACAATTCTTTGATTTAGATACGATCGATAGATCGTTAGATACAATAATTCAGAACTAGGACATTTGATGCGAAAGGAATCGATGATTTATTCCATAAGATAAATGCGGTTTAACGGAAGATATCTTACCGAGTATTTTAGATATGTTCGAATTGTGCATGTCCGGGCAGGCTTTTAAAATTTTCCTACGCTCGTCTTTGGCCCACACCATGAACGCGTTCATAGGCCGTTTGATATGTGGCTTGTTCTCACCCTCCCTCTTCTGCTGTCTCACCATTTTAGCTGAACAGAGAGAAGACGTGTTAGATGTCAACCTGCTTCGTGAGAAGCGAATCTGATTTCGTGAGCATCACCTGCCGCTCTCGAAACAAAAGCGTAACGTCAGCCGCGGCTGGACGTCCGATGACTGCTTACCTTTTTCCGTTATGTCTTCCGGTACCTTGTAACCCGGCTCCCGCCACACTGTAATTTCAGAATACCATCGTTTCTTATAATGTCTAGAACTTATTGTACCAAGTAACTACTTTTGATAAATTTTAAGTTTGGAGAACTTAGGGATCCGTCAGTTTATAGATTTGGGAATTTACGAATGCGAGAATTCGAGGAACTGGGTATTTAGGAATGTGGAAATTTATGGATTTGGGAGTTTGGAAGTACGGGGATTTGGGGACTAAAAGATTAAAAAATTTGGGGAGTTGGGAACTTCGAAAGTTAAAAATTCGGAGGAGGAATTTGCTAATTAGTAGAATCGGAGAATGCAATAAAGGGTAAAGAAAAATATTTACTGTGAGATGTGGAGAGATAGTCTTGTTCCTCCTGCGCAGCCTCGTCTCGAGAACCAGAATGTTTCATCGGTCGTTGAGTTTGAGGCGAAGGAGGCATCGCACCTGCACTCGGTGGTATCGCGTAAATCCCGTGCATCGCGAAATGTTTCTCCACGGCTGCTACAGCGGCGGCTGCCACCGCGCCTCCTGGTCCACCACCTTCTTCTTTTCCCATCACTTTGCCCACTGCAATTGTTCACCACTTAATCTCTTCATCTTTAAAATAAAATTATCTAAAACTATGACACTATTTAGGGATTATTCTTTCGCTCTTCCATAGCTTCTTACAGTAATTTACTACCAATTAGCAAGGTACGCGGAGAGTCATTGATTAAAAGTAAAGCTAAGCTACTTTCCTTAAGCGATAGAAAAAACATTATTTAATTAAAGATGTAATTACAAGAGTAAACGCGAAGAGGACACGAATTCCAAATTACGTTGTAAGATCTGAATTGCTCGGTATACTACTTTACCGAGCAAGAAAGTCACCGATAGATTCCGTTGAGTCTGAAAGGGTTGACTTGCACCAATGGTTCTCTCATTCTTTGGACCATTTATAGCGATAAACAACGTTGAAAAAACGTTCGCTGGCGAACTCGGGAGTCTCGCAAAACAAGGTCGGACGTTTTACGCCACTGTAAGAGCTAACAACGATGATCACCCGACCGCTTGTTCTGATATTACAATGACAGCTCGAGGAATCTGCGTGCTTGTTCCCTTTTTCGACGATGTTATCTTGGTATCGCGTTACGCGTCGTTGATTGTGCTTTAACCGAAAGCAAAAACCGGACGCGAAGGGGAACAGGTTTTCTTAACGAACCGAGGAAAAAGCCGATCCGAACACAATCGGTTAAACGATTGCGCGCATACCCGAACATAATTAACCGTACGTTTCAGATCCGGAGCCGCGTATTTCTATGGAGCATTGATCGGATTTTTTCGACGAGCCTCGGCCTTGCCTTTCCACCGAAAAAGGGTAGTCGATCGTTTCTTTTTTCGACTCGCGAAACGATTCGACACGGAATCGAACATCGATATTTTACTTTCGTTTCGATCGGAATTTCCAGCGGGTTCGCGTTTCAATCAAACGGACAGAAAAGCCTGGCTGTAACTAGATTTTACATAATACCTCTACGTATCTTGCATTTTGTTGTTCCAGAGCCTTTAAATGTTGCTGTCACTCTCGTGACAGGTATCATTAGTATATCTTTGTTTTTGATAAATTATTGCAACGCCAGTTCCCTACTGCAGCTCGAACGTATTTAAATAGAAAATCAATTAATAAACTGTTTTAGCCTTTGCGATTTCGAAACATTACATACTTGTTTTTGCTCTAGTACTTGCTCGTTAATTCGGAATTTTATAGTCATATTTAACTCGAAACTCGAGGGTTAGATTTATCGGTTGCTCGAGAGGACAGAGAGTTGGGACCACTAGATGTCTCATGGGATGTATTCGTTCTCGTTAGTAGAGTAGAGCTATGGTATACTCGTGCGGTTTATGTAAAGAGTATTGCACATTATAGAGTACTTACTCGGAGAGGAAAGGGAGCTGAGGTGTGGCGGTAATCCCGCGTAAGGAGGAAGGCTGGGCAAATAATTCCGTGGCATCGGTAAACCCGGCTGAAAAAGTTTGGGCGCAGTCGCGGCCAAAGGCTGCTCCTGTTGACCACTGCTTCCGGCCCCGGTCGAGTGCGAATCGCTTCCGGGCGACGAAGAGGACGCCGTTGCACCCGAGGACGAGGATTTCGGTTTGGTGAGGTTCAATGGCGCGTCGAGGTCCTGAAGGGGAGGCGCCGTCGGTGCCACGGCGGACGAAATAGGCGTCGGTGATGCTTCTTTCTCCATTTGTGTGGTCATTTGCGCTAAATGCGCCGTCGCCCAGCTAGGACCTTCCCGGTGACTGCTGATCATCTGTAATAGTCATTTCAAACTAATAATTTATCTAATTGCGCGCTAGATTATTAGCTCTAGTAAATTGATCATACTAACTGGGTCAATTTATAGATATGTTCTAACCATTTATGCAAAATTATAGAGGGACATTTCATGACAGTTTATTATGATCTGTAATCGAACTGTGGGATATTTTTGTAAGCGTAATTTTACATCCGTAAACTGCAATTGAACATTTTTTTGATCTTTCAATCGAGGAAGGCGTGAACAGAAATTCTACTGCTTCTGTGTAATAGATATGCCCGGTCGATTTTTCAGAAATCACATTGCAAAATATAAAATTTACTAGATTACGGATATGTTTACGTGCAAAAATACGCGTTTAATGAAACAGTTGCAATAGCAGATTATTATGGAACGAGTTCGAGTTATAAAATATTTCTAATATCGCACCAGGATCCTTTTAACGGCGATTTTTTTCCCGAGGACAGCTATTTGGGATAAATTATAGCGAGCATTATGGATCACTGTTTCGACGAGGACATCGCAAGAATTATTAACGACGGATTAATGGCACGAATGGATGCCTTGCTGAGGTATTCTCGATCTCAACAGTTGCTCTTTAATACGACAAATAATTCATGCCGGTGATGGCAGATCTAGAGTTGTTTTTATGCCAACGAATGTTCAAACGAAGTCTCCTGTCTGTCGTTCCATGCTTCCGCGAACCACGATTATGACTTCCGGTGTTTCGGTTGCAAACTCGCTGAATTCTCTCTTTTATATCCTCAAGAATTGTTTTGGGAGCCACGAGGCGAAAAAAGATGAAAGATTGTGCGATGCGAGCAACTTTATTCAAATTTCATTTTGAATCGGAAAAAAAATACCATTAAAAAGGTTATATTTTCTGTATTATTGTGCTTCCATAATTCAGATAAAATCGAATTGTGTACTTTCAAAATTATTTACGTACAAATTTATTATTTAAGTAGAACTTATATTGAAAGAAATTGTTTACAGCAAACTTTTAAATTCTTAAATCCTCAATTACTCAAATATTCAGCTTCAGACATCTTTTGACAGTATTTCTACACTTGTCCATTCCTACATGTCCCTACGTATATTGAAAGAAATTGCTTACAGCAAATTTTTAAATTCTTAAATTCTTAAATCCTTAAATACTGAAATTCTCGATTTCAGATATCTCTTGACAGTATTTCTTCCATCCCTACATTCCCATAATATATTTTGATATTCCTCGACTAGTAATAAAAGTCCGAACTTTGGGAACAAATCGTCGAAATAATTTCAAGTTCTTTCGATGATCGGCGGTTCTATCGCCGCTCTCTGCATTTTTAATTCGATCGAGAGCGTCCGCTTTAAAGTTTCACGGTCTGGTTAGTACATAGATACGCGAATCGGGCAAACGGTAATCAAAGTTGAACCTCGGGGACGGGCAAATTGCGTTGGGTTTACGTACGTTGGCGATCGAATTGATATGCTTGTTGGTGGTGGTCGTCGACGTGGCCGGCGGTGGTGGCATCGGCGATTGCACGGGTAACCCTCTGAGCTGTTCGAGAAACGGTAGGAACATCAAGGATTGCGGTCCCGACATGCTCAACTGGCTCTTTGTCATCTGAGCTTGTAGCTCCTGGATGTTGTGCTGCATGATGTGCTCTTGCTGCCGCTTCAAGTGTTCCGTTTGTAGCCGCTGTATCTCGATTTGCTTCTGCGAGTCGACGCTCATGTGCACAGGATACGACTGCAAAAGCCACGGGACGAGCAATTAGAGCAGGCTTATCCGAGAGATGCCCCGGAGATTCAGGGCGCCGCAATTTGCCGCGAGATAAGACTCGAGGCAACGATCACAAATTCTAATATACATTTCGGGAAGACGCACCAAAAAGATTTCCACTCGCTTCATTTACTTTTAAATCCAAAATGGCGTGTCTCATAACAGTTTTCAGTTGTTCGAGCAATTATTGTTGAAACAATTTTTTAACGGTAACGCACAAATGCTACAAGTATTAAAATAGTTTAATCGTACTAGTAGTGTTCAGTAGATCAGTTTATTTTAAATGGCACATGCATTAAAAAAGTTTGAAACTTCATAGCATCGGTAGCGAATATTAACAAGCATCTATGAATAACATTAGCTCGTAAACTTTCAACAAGAATACATAATTTCTTCTCTACGAAAGTTTCGCTTAATTAAAATATTAACTAGAGCAATCGTAAGCTATGGAAAGAAGGTGGCGAGCCTTTGAGCGCTTATAACGAATGAAATATAAAAAGGAGGAAAAATCGTTTTCCACCAGTTCGATTCTCGGAACTCGTTCGAGATCACAGTTTCCCAGAAAATGTAATAAAAGGTGAGCGAGCACCGATATTATTTTTAATTGCCGTTTATAGGCCGAGTGAAACAGAAGCGGGGAAAGTGAGATTTCAAAATGAACATCAACGATCGAGTGATAATACGAACAGGAAGGAATCTGTATTGCCTTTAACACGCGTCTCTAATCGTTTCAGAGTCGTAATTATGGTACGCTTGCTGACAGTGTAGCATTCGTAGTTATTAAACGAGACGATAATTCAACCGGATATTTACTGAATATTTTAGAAATCGTTTTAAAATCCTGCTTGTTAGCATAATAAGAAAAATGACAACTAGTTAGGTATTTCCTGGCAAATAATTCGCTGCGATCTGTAACTGAACAGTAAATTATGTCCGTTTAACGCTTTGCTTGTGGTCGACGTATATGATCGCCGCAAATAAGCTGTTGATGTCGATTAGAAGTTCTAGTAAAACATATTGAAATTTTAGTTAACGACGTTGTTACCAAGACAGCATGATATATAGACTGTACTTGTAGATTCATACATTTTTTTCTATTATTTGCTACACGCTGTTGCAATAATATGGCCACTCGTTATATTGCCACACCTGTACCTGCGTTGTCGCAGAAAGTCGATTTGTAGTAAAGGAATATATCCATGCTTGGTATTTCTATGCGTGGTAATTCAACGCCTGGTAATTCAATGCGTGGTATTTCAACGCGTGGTAATTCCACGCGTGGTGATTCCACGCTTGGTAATTCAGCGCGTGGTAATTCCACGCGTGGTATTTCTACGCGTGGTAATTCAACGCGTGGTGTTTCTACGCGAGGTAATTCTACGCTTGGTATTTCTACGCGTAGTAATTCTACGCGTCTTGGTAATTCGGTGCGTGGTAATTCCACGCGTGGTAATTCGGCGCATGGTAATTCCACGCGTGGTAATTCCACGCATGGTAAT